TTCGCAAGATGGCCGCCACGCCTGAGTCCCCGGCCAAGATGGCCGCCACGCCTGAGTCCCCGGCCAAGATGGCCTCCACGCCTGAGTCCCCGGCCAAGATGGCCTCCACGCCTGAGTCCCCGGCCAAGATGGCCTCCACGCCTGAGTCCCCGGCCAAGATGGCCTCCACGCCTGAGTCCCCGGCCAAGATGGCCTCCACGCCTGAGTCCCCGGCCAAGATGGCCTCCACGCCTGAGTCCCCGGCCAAGATGGCCTCCACGCCTGAGTCCCCGGCCAAGATGGCCTCCACGCCTGAGTCCCCGGCCAAGATGGCCTCCACGCCTGAGTCCCCGGCCAAGATGGCCTCCACGCCTGAGTCCCCGGCCAAGATGGCCTCCACGCCTGAGTCCCCGGCCAAGATGGCCTCCACGCCTGAGTCCCCGGCCAAGATGTCCGCCACGCCTGAGTCCCCGGCCAAGATGTCCGCCACGCCTGAGTCCCCGGCCAAGATGTCCGCCACGCCTGAGTCCCCGGCCAAGATGTCCGCCACGCCTGAGTCCCCGGCCAAGATGTCCGCCACGCCTGAGTCCCCGGCCAAGATGTCCGCCACGCCTGAGTCCCCGGCCAAGATGTCCGCCACGCCTGAGTCCCCGGCCAAGATGTCCGCCACGCCTGAGTCCCCGGCCAAGATGTCCGCCACGCCTGAGTCCCCGGCCAAGATGTCCGCCACGCCTGAGTCCCCGGCCAAGATGTCCGCCACGCCTGAGTCCCCGGCCAAGATGGCCGCCACGCCTGAGTCCCCGGCCAAGATGGCCGCCACGCCTGAGTCCTTGTGAAAATCACTATTTACTTTGACCAACTCTTTGCCTTTAAAATGGCATAATTTCACACACACCATTTAATAGAATCTCATACCTTCTTAACATGTCATTATGTGCTTCCTCTCTTAACACAATCGGTCGATCCATTGACTGATCACTTTTTAGAGACGCAAAGGAAGGTACTGGAGATGCTGCTTCATATGGTTGTAGACTTTAAGAATGAGAAAGACAAGGGGAATTTAACGCTGAACAAGAGACACGTCTCAGCTGATCTTCAAGAGTCTCGTCATGTCTCAGCTGATCTTCAAGAGTCTCGTCAGGACATGGCCGCCATTTCGGAGTCTGCTCACGTTAAGCCTGAGTCCCCGGCCAAGATGGCCGCCACGCCTGAGTCCCCGGCCAAGATGGCCGCCACGCCTGAGTCCCCGGCCAAGATGGCCGCCACGCCTGAGTCCCCGGCAAACAAATAATTGATTATTAATTATGCATTAAGCATGATACATAAACTAGCAGATTAAATGCTCATACTTTTCTCAGTCGATGAAACTGAAGACATCATTGTTCAACACATCCATTAAATAATTAAGGTATACCTAGTTTTATTTTATTCAGGATGACAAAAAGTCGATATTTTCAAAAGAGAATAAGAAAAGAGACAATACTTTCAACTTGTACAATGATCCCATGGTAAAAATAAACATTTTTGTCTATGACCTCAGATTTTGATCTAATCAAACATCATGTAACAACAATATAACCGAATTGTTTATTGAATACACATGAAGCACAATATATGCATACATCATTTAATTTTATACCTGCAATTATGTAGTCTCTCTCTTGTCACAACTGGCCCATCCATTGACTCATTACTCTTTACAGACAGGAGTGAGGGTGCTGGGGACAGTGCCTCAAATAGTTCACTATGAGAGAATAAATTTGGTTATAAACAAATATCACAAAACAGACAAAATTAAAACACTTAAGGCAAGCACATCCTTAATTATGCAATAAGCATGTATAACCTAGCAGATTAAATTCTCATGCTTTTCAAAGGCAGAGAAACTGTAGACATTGTTCAACACATACATTAAATCATCAACGGTATCACTGTTTTCAGACAGGAGTGACAGTGATGGAGATAATGGGTCATCTGGTCTCAGACTGTGAGAGTATACATGAGGTAAGAAACAAATATCACAAAAGATTTTTTCAGGATGAAAGAAAATCTTTTGAAAAGAGACGTGGATGAACTATTTTAGTTTTAGTTGATAATAGAATCACTAATGTACACATATTCCAGCATGGAATGTAAATTCTCATACCTGTTAACACCATAACTCTGAATTCTGTTAAATTCATACTGCCAATTCATCGAATGGTTGCTTTTGAAAGAGAAGTATGAAACTGCAGGAGATGGTGGTTCATCTGGTGTTTGGCTGTCCAGATGAGACAGAAAATTTCAGTTTAAGATAATCTAAGAGACATACAAATTATGCAAGACAAAATGCATATTTTTATTATCCAATAAGCACACCATATAACCACTAACAGACAAAAATGTCATACTTCTCTCCAATGAATCTTTGTGCTCTATTGTTCAATACAATCGGTTGAAGGATTGAGGATCCTGGAGATGGTGTCTCATCTGATCTCAGACTGTGAGAGTATAAAATAACACACACAGACACAAAAACATTTTTAGTTTTAGTTGATAAAAGGATCACTAATGTAACACACAAGTACATATACATCCCAACAAAGATTGTAAGTTCTCATACCGTTTAACACCATAATGCTGAGTTCCGTTACTGGACGCAATCAATTGATCCATTGAATGTTCTCTTTTTTACAGAGAAGAATCAGGAGATGGTGCCTCATCTGGTCTTCCAAACTGACTGAATGCATGGAGCAGAGGAGCAAACTGTTCTTACTTTATGCACAAATGAGAGAGGTCTGGTCTCTTATTTTTCTTCATGGAGAAAATATTAAGAAAAGTTATTTTTTTAAAAAGGATTGTGACACTTTGGAAACAAGCAATAAAAGTTAATTATTGTTTTCGAGTATATGAATATATATCCCAGTTTAATGTGCATATTATAATTAAGCTAGGGTTGGGCGATGTCTACCAAATCGGCATCAGACGATGTCTACAGTGAAACTGATGACATGGGGGGGGGGAGTGTGTCCATGCAGACCGCATACAACAGCACAGCCGCAAGGTGAATGTTGAGACAGAACAAGTCAAGTAGGTGATACTACGCATATGTCGACTTTGAAACAGTGGTGTAAAGTATTTGAGTAAATGTAATTAATTACTGTACTTGAGTATCTTTTTGGATACACTGTAGTTTTACTTAGTATCAAAGATATTAGCAACTTTTACTCTCTACTTAACTAAATTTTTGAATAAGTATCTGTACTCTTTACTACACTACATTTGTAATGAGTGTTGCAATTACACATTACATTTTGCATGGCATCTAGCTTTTTCTGCAGCAGTATATTTCTGCCACAAAAGAAGTGATATCACTAACTACAGGGCACTGAAAGTATTATATCTTGTGCGTTTTGCCCTTACTCACCAAAACTTGTCAACAAGGCTACTTTACGTGAATGCAAGTTCCTTAGCAAGTAGTTGGTTATCACAGGTGTTTTATATATGAGATGAGGACATGACTGCAGCCGGCAATGAGGCCGCAACCAGCACATCCAGTGCAAGAAGGCTTTGACTTTTTAATTTTACTTAAAGGGATAGTTCACCTTCAGTTGCCGGTCCCCATTGACACATTCAGTGCAAGAAGGCTTTGACTTTTTAATTTTACTTAAAGGGATAGTTCACCTTCAGTTGCCGGTCCCCATTGACTTGCAGTGTTTTTTGTCCATACTATGGACGTGTTACGAATCAAGCCTCTGTGGCTCCCTCCGATCGCCACCTGAGGGCTCTGTCACCTGAGTATTAATCCCCTCATCCCATGCCTGGTGCTGATTACCCACACCTGTTGCTCATCCGGTGGACTTTTTAAGCAGTTCTCACTCTTTCCTCTTTGCGAAGTTTCGTTTTTGCCTTGGCTGACAATCCTGAGCATTTCTTTTCAGTGTATGGTTTTCTCGTGTATGATCCTTGACTGTTTATCTCGCTACAGTTCCATCTACATTCTACAAAGAGACTCAACCCAAGGCAAGTAGGTGGGTACTGTTCTTTACAAGAATCAATTTCACTGTCACCTATCGACCCAGTTCCAAGAACGCCAAGGCAGATGCTCTTTCCAGGGAGCACAGATTTCCCTTACACCCCCTTTCAAATGAGCCTATCATCTCACCAACACTCATTTTGGCACCAGTACTATGGGACATAATGACTGAGATCTCTGAGGCCCAGGCCGCTGAAACTTCACCACCAGACTATCCCCCAAATCTTACTTCATGCCGTCCTTTCTTCGGCAGAAGGTCATTCAGTTAGTACATTCATCACCAGCTCAAGGCACCCTGGCATCAATGCTACTGTTCAACTCCTCAACAACCGATTCTGGTGGCCATCACTGCAATCAGACACAATCACCTTTATTCAGAACTGTTCCACCTGTCAGATGTCTAAATCTTCTCATCTAGCTAATCTCACATAGCGATTGATTTTGTTACTGACCTCCTCAAATCTCAGGGCCACACCATCCTCACTGTAACTGATCGCTTCTCCAAGGCTTGTCGCTTCATACCTCTACCCAAGTTGTCCTCTGCCTTTGAGACTGCCGAGCAGCTTTGTAACAATATATTTCGATTCTACTGACTCCCTGAAGACATTGTATCAGACTGCGGTCCCCAGTTCACTTCACGTGTGTGGTTGGCCTTTTTTCAGAAGCTTAACGTCAATATCAGTCTAACTTCTGGATATCATCCACAATCCAACGGCCAAGTAGAACATCTCAACCAACTCGTTTCCTTAAATCCTAATGTCACAGAAATCAATCTGACTGGAGTCGCTATTTGCTTTGGGCAGAGTACGCACAGAACTCCATCCGTATACTCTCTACTGGTCTTACTCCATTTCAATGTCTCCTTGGCTATCAACCCCCTCTATTTCCCTGGTCAGGAGAACTCACTGGACTTCCAGCAGTTAATGACTGGCTACAACGAAGTGAGGACACTTGAAATGTGGCTCATGTGCATCTACTGAGAGCCGTCAGATGTCAGAAGAGACAGGCAGACCGTTATCGTCGACCTCACCCCAACTACCATCTCAGACAATGGGTCTGGCTTTCTTCCAAAGATCTTCGTCTCCGACTTCCCTGCAAAAAACTCAGCCCCAGGTACGTGGGTTCTTTCAAAATAATCAGACAGATAACTCCTGTTTCATACCGTTTAGCTCTACATTCCCATTATCGTATCTCACCCACTTTCCATGTATCTTTGCTCAAGCCCGCAGGTGGTCCGAGAGGAGTGGAGAACCTAGAGGAGGCTGGGAACCAGGGACCTCCACCCATCATCGTGGAGGGCGAGGAGGCTTACCAAGTGCTTGAAATCCTTGACTCCAGATGCCGGGGCAGGACGCTGCAATATCTTGTGGACTGGGAGGAGTGCGGTTTGGAGGAAAGATCCTGGGTCAACTCAGAAGACATCCTGGACCCATCACTCACAGATTATTTCATAGAACCCACCTGGAAAAAAACGGCCCCTCGCCCTTGTGGAAGACCCCAACATCATTTGCCTCCTCGCTTCAGGAGCCGCTCGCAGGGTGGGGACTCTGTTATGAACTAAGTCTCTGTGGCTCTCTCCGATTGCCACCTGTGGGCTCCGTCACCTGAGTATTAATCCCCTCACAAACTCCATTTCCCATCATCACATGCCTGGTGCTGATTACCCACACCTGTTGCTCATCCAGTGGACTATTTAAGCAGTTCTCACTCTGTCCTCTTTGCAAAGTTTTGTTTTTGCCTTGGCTGACAATCCTGAGCGTTTCTTTTCCATGTATGGTTTTCTTGTGTATGATCCTGGACTGTTTATCTCATTACGATTCCATGCTGCCGGCCTTTGTTACTCTGCCTCATTTGACTTGATTATTGCTGTTTTGTTTGCTGCCTGCCCTGACCCTCTCCTGTCTTGTGACTATGAGTCTGCTCTGCCCTGTGAATGTCTGTTGTCAGTGATCATCCTTTGCCTGTTTGTACTTCCTAACCAGGGTTTGAAATTAACACCCGCCAACCCGCCAAATGCGGGTAAAAATCAGCTGTGGCGGGTAACGCTGCCAAATCACTAGCCAGTTTGGCGGGTTACTTTTCGTAAGTTATGTTCAATCATTAATTTCTTGGGGAAGTTCATGCAAGCCAAATCTGCGCAGGTTTAGCGCAAATACTGAACTTGTGAGACATCATGACATTATCGAGTATATTGCAAAAACCAAACAAAACACACCTAAGTTACAAAGTGCACGCATACGCGACGTGATGTAGTCAGGTTAGACTAACTTTGTGCTGTGCGCATTTAGAGTGCATTCTTTCATTGCATGATTCAGTCTATTAATATGCATTACGAATGATCACATAATTCAAGATAAGGGGGTTGGAAAATGTATATATTTATATCAATTCATATACCGGTAGTTAATATCACACGAAGAGTGCCGTTTAAAAAAAAAATCAGCATGGTTACAAATGTGATATTGATTTTATACAACAGTTCAATAAACAATAAGTTAATATCAAGAGACTTACGGTTTAGACACCATATTGGCTGTCTTTGCGTTATTTCGCCAACAGAAAACATTCCAAACACAGCGCTGTTTTGCGTCTCTGAGCAAAATCAACCATTTAAATGATTTGGTTCAATCGCAATGACTCACTTAACAGTGACTTGCTGCCACTTACTGGCGCATTTAATTTCACATTTTCACAAAATTATTTAATTTTAATTTTAAAGTATCTTTTAATTTTTAAAATAATTTAAATATCACTATTCAACATTTCAAAATATCAAAACATTATTTATGCATTTGTAACTGCAGGGCCAATTTGGCGGGTTACTTTTCGTAAATTATGTTTACTAATTAATTTCTTGGGGAAGTTCATGCAGGCCAAATCTTCAGTTTAGCGCAAATACTGAACTCGTGAGACATCATGACATTATCGAGTATATTGCAAAAACCAAACAAAACACACCTAAGTTACAAAGTGCACGCATACGCGACGTGATGTAGTCTGGTTAGACTAACTTTGTGCTGTGCGCATTTAGAGTGCATTCTTTCATTGCATGATTCAGTCTATTAATATGCATTACGAATGATCACATAATTCAAGATAAGGGGGTTGGAAAATGTATATATTTATATCAATTCATATACCGGTAGTTAATATCACACGAAGAGTGCCGTTTAAAAAAAAAATCAGCATGGTTACAAATGTGATATTGATTTTATACAACAGTTCAATAAACAATAAGTTAATATCAAGAGACTTACGGTTTAGACACCATATTGGCTGTCTTTGCGTTATTTCGCCAACAGAAAACATTCCAAACACAGCGCTGTTTTGCGTCTCTGAGCAAAATCAACCATTTAAATGATTTGGTTCAATCGCAATGACTCACTTAACAGTGACTTGCTGCCACTTACTGGCGGATTTAATTTCACATTTAAAGTATCTTTTAATTTTTAAAATAATTTAAATATCACTATTCAACATTTCATGTTTAAAATATCAAAACATTATTTATGCATTTGTAACTGCAGTTTAAAGCATTCCATGTCCCTCTAAGCTGCATTAACTTGTGTAAATACATCTAAATGCCACTTCATATTCAACTTCTGCAAAGATGAATTTTATTGATACTGATTTAATTTGTTTAGTAACAGCCTAAATGTAGTATTGTTATAATTGCCTGATTAAATGTAAGAATTTGACTCAAA